TCTGCCTTGGGTCTTAGGATAAATTAGTCTTCAAATCACTGCGCTGTGCTCACTGGGGCGCTGCAGGCTGCTGAGCCCCCCACGGCTCCAGGCCAACAGCACCCCCAGTGGGACAGCCCCCAATGTCCCCAGACACGGCACCCACGGGGCAGAATCTTCCCAGACTCAGAGGAAGAGGAGGGAACCGGCGGGCCAGGCACTCCTCACAGCAGGCGAGGTTCATCTAATCAGAGCCGACTACCCAGCCAGACCTTGCAATCTGGGTCTCGGGGTCACCCGGCAGGGTGTGGGAGCCGAAAACCCATTTCACAGCACAGAAGGCTGGGGCTCACGGAGGCTGGGTGATTGGGCCGGGGGTGGTAGGTACGCGTCTGTCGCCCCAGCCCTCTGGGAGGCTGAGGCAGGAGCGTTGCCAGCTCAAGACCAGCCTGAGCAACTTAAGACTTACGGAGACCCTGTTTCAAAATGAAAACTAAAATGGGCTGGGGACGCAGCTCAGTGTGAAGGCCCTGGGTTCAACACCAGGGCTTCGAGGAAAAAAAAAAAAAAAAGAGGAAACCCCACAGGAACCGGGTGTCCGTCGGTCCGTCCGTCCGTCCCATTCCTTGCTACGGTGTTTTGGGGAATGGAGACGCGCACCTGTGAAGTACAGCAGTTTCACGTAGGTCTGGATTTCTGCTCTGCCTTGGAAAGCCGGGCCAATCTGGTTTTGATGGCCGGAGGGACCTCTGGGCCACGGCCTCCCCTCAGCGTCCCCTCAGGCCCGTGCTCCTCGCCCTCTCTGGCCCCTCCGAGGGGCGTCCAGGCCCGCGGGCTTCACCGCAGCGGGAGGACGACAGGGAGGGAGGGGCGGAGGAAGGGACTCAGCCGCCTCCGTTCACGGCTCCTCCAGGTCTGGGCCGGGCTGCGTCCTGAGCCTGAGGCCTCACCAGGCCTCACGGCGGAGCGAAGCAGCGGGCTGGAATCCAGGTCTGGCTCCCGAATTTTTATTGTTTTTCTGCAGCATCGTGCACGGAACCCACGCAGGACGTCCCCAGCCCTGTTTCTCTTTCACTCTGAGACAGGGTCTCTCCAAGTCACTCGGCCGCCGAGGCTGGGCTCAAACCTGGGATCCTCCTGCCTCGGCCTCCCACAGGGCTGGAGGACAGGCGAGCACACTAAGCAGGGTTGGCTCCCAAGTCCTGCAGCAGCTGCTCCCCCTGCAAGGCTGACCGAACGGATCGATGAGCGACTGCTGCCAGCGTCCCAAGCCTGGAAATGGGGCGCCCCTCACGGGGCCACACGGCCCGCGACTGCCCCCACCTCCGGCTCTGTCCCGCCAGGGGCTGGGAGACGGGGAGCCTTGGCCTGGGGTCTCTGCAAGACGCCTGCCCTCCCGGCCCACCTTCCCGGCTCCCCGCAACTCAGCTCCCACCAGGAGCCTGGCCCAGTGCTGCCGCAGAAGAGGGGTGACCTTCATTAGGCAGCCAGCGATGGGGAACGCCCCAGTTTCCAGCGGCTGAGTCATCCTGCCGCCTTCGCTGGACCCCATGCAGGGGCTGCACAGGGCCAGGGGCTGCCGGGAAGCCGCTGCCGGGACGGTCTTGCTGCAGATCAAATGACCACACGCACAGTCTGGGAGGCTGAGGCAGGAGGGTCTCACAGAGCCCAGCTTGGGCCACTTAGAGACCCTGTCTCCAAAGTAAAAATAAAGAGGGCGGGGATGCAGCTCAGAGTGAAGGCCTCAGGTTCAACCCCAGCACAGGACAGAAAGAGAGACAGAAAGAAAGGAAATTCAAGCACCCAAAGTGCCTGGGGAGACTTCCTGTGCTGTCGCTTCTGGGCCATGTGGGTCAGGCCAATGTCGAGCCTGCTCTGTGCCTCAGTTTACCCCATCCTCAAAGGAGAGCCCGATGGCGCCCACTGGAAGAGGACCGAATATCGGCAGCCGATCTGCCCGCTCGCCCGAGCTCCTCACCCGGGGCACAGACACCTACTAGGTCGGAGCCGCGTTACCGCGTTACGTCCCCCACCCCCTCGTTCGCTAATCACGGGGTTAATTATACACAGCGGCAAATTACACAGGCGCCACGGAGAGGCCGCCCCTTCCCCAGAACCCCTGCATTTCCGCCAACACTCAATTACCCACGCGATAGCACTGCTGAAGCACCTTCCCGCCCTGCTGCAAGCTGCCGGGGGCTCTGCCTGCCGGGCCCAGCCGGGCTCCTAGGCCGACGCAGGCTGGGACAGACAGGAGCGAGCTTGGAGCCCAGAGAGGTCGAGCAACCTGGCCCAGTGTGCGCGGCACAGGCGGAGCTGTTGGCGGCCCTGTGTGGGAATCCAGAGGGTTCTCTCATTCCCAGGTAAAGTTGCTGCTCTGCGGACAACGGACAGAGATGAGGTCACGCAGGGAGAGGGGGAGGAAGGAGAGAAACAGGCCAAAAAAAATGTCACTCAGTGTGATGGCGCACGCCTGTCAGCACAGCACTCGGGAGGCTGAGGCAGGAGGATCACCCCAAGTTTGAGGCCAGACTGGGCTCCATAGTGAGTTCAAGGCCGGCTGGAAGTATCTAGCGAGACCCTGTCTCTAAAAAAAAAAAAAAAAAGAAAAGAAAAGAAAAGAAAAGAAATCGCCTGGTTATGAATAACACAGATAAAAATAAAATAAAATAAGATAAAAATAAAACTCAAAAGCGGCAGGGGCGACTCAGGTAGCAGAAAGCCTCGCATGGGCAAAATCTACCCTTTCCCACAGGGCCGCCGGTGATTCACCGGCAGTGGCCACTGGAGATGCGTGTGACCCAGAAAGCCCCCTCCAGCCCCGGCCTGGAGGGGCCTGGATGTGGGGAGCGGAGACCCCAGCACCCCCAGAACAGCGTGGGGCGCAGGTCCAGCCAGGCCTGGGTGTGGATGGTGAGGGACCAGCGCCTCACGGAGGAGGAGGAGGAAGAGGGAGAGAAAGAGAGGAAAAGAAAAAAGAGGAGACAAAAATAAAGCAGTGTGAAAGTCAGGCCCCGGCCGTGAGTCACCGTTATCCGCTCGTTAATTTTCGCCTTTGCACACGCCTAAGCCGATTGATTTTTACAGATCCCCCACGCACGGCCCCCCAGCACCTCTAAAATACCAGCCAGAGACAGACAGAATGGTGCGTCGGGCGTTTTTTTCTTTTTTTGGCTGTGCTAGCCCGAGCCCCTGCTGTACACCAAGAGGGCTGTTTTTGAGTGTCTTTTCTTCGCTTAAAGAAAAGGGAGGCTGGACGTGGTGGTGCGCACCAGCCATCCCAGTACTGGGGGAGGCTGAGGCAGGAGGGTCCCGGGAAACTTGGTGACTTAGCGACAACTTGGGTCAAAATAAAATTTTTTTTAGAAGGGCTGGGGACGGAGCTCAGTGCGAAGGACGTGGGTTCAATTTCTAGTACTGCAAAGAAGAGGAGATGAGGGGAGGGGAGCCACATGTGACACTCAATACCCTTGACCCCCGAGGTCAGGGACACCCGCATGTCACCATCCGGAACCGGGTGTCTCAGTGCCCAGACAGGGCCTCTCCAGGATAGAGTTTTCAGAGCGAGGAGAGGAGAGGAGAGGAGAGGAGAGGAGAGGAGGGGAGAGGCGCCTCCCCAGTCCTCCCTTCCGCACCCTCCCCGGGTGGTCCGGGGCGGTCAGACCTCAAAGTGCCCCCGGGTGACAGGAGGAGCCTCGGCCCCTTCCCTCCCGCTCAGCCCAGCGGGCAGCGCCTTTGTTCCGGGCCAGGGCGAGTCCGACAGGAGGCGGGAGGGCGGCCGGGGACCCTCCAGACCCTCGGCAGCCGGTGCCTTTTGTCACAGGGAGGGCAAGGGAGGGCGAGAGGAACAGGGTGCGCTGCTGTCTGCAAGGGAAGCCCCCCAGCGCCCAGCCGCGAGCCCGCAGGGGACCCCAAGAAAGAAGCCGGGCTGCGCGGATCCTGACACAGACGCAGCCTAACGGGGTGGGGGAAGCGGGAACACTCTCGGCCCAAAGAAAACGTCGAGCTTGGTCCACTGTCCCGGACCCGCCGGGTTAATAAACGCCCGACTTTATTTTCAGGGTTCTCTTCCCGGCTCACCCCCATCCTGAACTCTCCCCGAGGCCCCTCTTTCCCCACGTGCACCGCGGTGCCCCTAGAGGGGCGGACAGGTGAACCCCGGCCCACCAGGTCCTGTCCCCTCTGCCACAGTCCCGGCCACACCGACACCGGACATGGATCCAGCCGCTCGTCCCGGAGCCGCCGGCGGCGCCGCAGGTCTCCCCGGGAGACGCTGCCCGTTCCTGCAGACCCAGCGGGCAGGCAGGGGAAACCGGGTCGCATCCTGGCCAGGAGCCCCGAGCGGGACGGGCAGCCTCCTCCCGGGCCGGCTGAGCCCCGCGCTGTTTGCCGGACCCACAGAAGAACCGGGGGACGCTGACGGTTCCGGACCGGTCCCCTCTTTTCGTGACGCTCCCGTTAAAGGCCGGAGACCCGCGAAACTGCCCTGGGAGCCACACATCCCGGACTCGAGGCTTGGAAAGATCCCGTGTCACCACGGGGGACACGCAGGTGGCCAGAATCCCCCGGGAAACGGGATGAGGTGAAAGTCCCGTCGCCCCCTCCTCCGGAAGGGTGAGGAACACGACCGGGATCAAAGCCCAAATTCCCTGCGCCCTGGCGGCCGCCGACGACAGCCTGGGTCTCAGCGTCTGCGGTCTGCGCTCCCTCGCTCGCCCGCACGCAAAGGTCGGGGGG